ATCTCCTATTTGTCATCACAAAACAGTTTTTGCATAAATAATAAAATTATGGATAGGCCTTGATTAAGTACATACAGAACAAGGAGATGCGGTCTTAAATGGAKAAAGGTKATCTCTCATTCCCGCAAGTGGGAAGTTTATTGGGTTATGTTAAATAAAAAACATTAAAATTAGGTATGATGACCTCTTTTAACTTCACATAATTAACCAATCAATTTTCGTATGATAAGATTGCATGATCTATCCATTCTTCTATTATCTATGAGTTTTTAGCATTCAACCCAGTTGCTGTGAACACAGTTTTCCATTATGGCCACATTTATGGCGATGAATGTTCCTTTGATTGGTGGATTTCTTGTCTACAACTGAGCCAGTTTTCTCAAATATATCTAACAAACGAGAAGGCSCATTGTTTGGTCTAAGGTTTCGGTATGTTTCCACAACACTCCATATTTGTAGTGCGTTTCACTATTGTTATGTGTTGTTCAGCTATGAACCTCCTCATGACTACGAAAACAGTGGTTTGCGATGACAAAATGGGGGATGTAAAAATATAAGAAAAATATTGAACAGACCTGCCGATCCAAGACCAAAACATAAGCGCTTCTGCTGGGACACTCTTTATTATTAGCTTGTACCTATTTATATGCAACAACCCGTAATATTTATGCAAAACTGAGCATCTATTTTAGGTCCTACCGTGTAATGACAAATTATTAAATCCTTATCTAATTGTAATACATGTCAACAATGGTATATAGTACACATACTGTGAAAGTTTATTTATTAATTAATATAAATTTAAGGAAACTATTGTCCTTCTATCATTCCTCAATACAAAATATACCAAAAGTGTTATAAGACTATAACTAAAGTAAAAATTGTGACATACAATTTTTCATTACCTCTAAGAATTGTAGTTGTAAATTTGCATTTAGTGTAAAGTACACAAACTACTAGAAATTTTGTTTTCATTTTAATTTTGTTGTCTTTAGGCAGTTTATATAGTTAAGTTGTAATTTGTGTCCTATCATCCAGGTTATCAGGTTATGATATATTTAAATTCATGAAGATAGAAAATTAATTGATTTACTTTATACTTTTATAGTTAAAATTATGAAATTAATAATCCAATTGCATGAAATGATTTAATGGAATAACACTAGCTAAAAATATATGACCCATGTACTATATTGTATACTTTAAATGTCCCACATAAATTCTTTATTTTTTGCCTTTTCTAATACTTATGCTTTAACCTTTGTAAATATAAAATAGTAACAAAAAAAAAAAAAAATTGCAACAAGGGTATAGAATATTCTCAAAACCTTCATTGAGTATTGATCATTTCAGTAATTGGAAATAACGATTAAACATTTCAGAGATGACAGAATGACTAGATTTGCAAGATCAAATGGTTTGACTCGTTCTAAAATAAGTGGTTTGGGTCCCAAAACAATTGGTTTGGGTCCCAAAACAAGTGGTTTGGGTCCCAAAACAAGTGGTTTGGGTCCCAAAACTCAAAATGCTCCCACTCCATCTACATCTAAGGCTCTTACACCTGTGAGTTATTTAATTACTGAWTTGTTATTTATGATTATTATTAATCTTACATTAATAAGGTATTCTGTTTTTAGCAAGAATTTTTAGCAATGCAAAAAGAAAAAGCTCTTAAAGCAGCATCATGTCAACCAAGTACCAGTGGTTCTCAAGGGAAATGTGAAGCTAGTACAAGTGGTTCTAACATGCGTCGATGTTATGTCCAGTTAAAAGATATAAAAAAAAAAAAATCTAAGAGCAAACTTATTGAAGATGAAGAAGAAAGGGCTGTACCACTACCAAAAGTCACACTACCATTACCTGAACCACCAAAACCTAAACCAAAACCTGCTAAAAGAAAATATGTTGATTTAGAAAAGAAACAGTTAAGAGAAGCTTTAAAGAAAAAAAAAGCCAAGAGAGCATTGCAAGTTAAAAAATATGGTTTCTCTTATTCATCGTCTGAATTTGAAAGTACTGATGATGAAGCTGTACCGTTAGTTCCTTTCAATCCAAATCGAAAGGTGTTGGAATCGATTAAATATGCAGTAGCGTAAGTTAAATAATTTTTTTTTTATTTAAATTTTAACAGATCAATAAATTATAAATATCAATTTTTTAATATGTTATTATTGTTTACATAAATTGCTTAAAGCGCTATAGTGACTCTTCTAGGTTGTGTAGTACATAGTGAACTACTTAAATATACATTTTACTTGARTTTATTGCCATATTTGTACATATTATGTGGACAGGTGAAAGGTTGCCAGTTAATATTATCAATACAATAAATTAGCAAGTATGTTTATAATCAGATAATTTAACAGTGAAACTATGATCAGAGAAACTACCCAGTGATTAGACCATTTTTGTGAGATTTGCGTGGCTGAAGCCCCCCCCCCCTTAGACTAGGACTTCGATATTTAAGATATTTCAAAAAATAAAGACTTGGTACAAAATCCCGGGACGGAACGCGGATACATTTATTTTCTGATGTGTAGGTACGTGACGACTTTCGAGAAAATCGAGGATCAGGATCAGACAGAGGCACGTCCGTGGAGGCCAATGACGATTGGTGCGTTTGGAGAAATGGAAGAGCAAAAAGGTAGTAGGGGCGCGACGGCTGGCGCCTTGATACCGCGCTGACTGTGAACAATAAAAACATCGGTATTTGATGTTGTGGGTCGCCAATGTGTTATCAATGTTATCATTACTTGTGATTACACACTTTTGAATGAATGATAATTTAACAACATTTGAATAATTATTTCTTAACTTTAAATTTTACATCTTAAACTTTATCTCTTATAATAAGCATATATAATGAATAAAAAAACTTAAACTAAATGCCCATGCTTTTATATACTTTAAGTACAGTTTTTTGTTAAGCCCCCCCCCTTTTAATTTCTAGATCCGCGCCTGAATGTATTGGTTTGTGATTAAAGGGTGTGTATGTTGAAGTAATTTGGAGTGGAATTTTATTAAGTGTGTTTTGAAAACTTATTTAAGTCATTGCGAAAGGTGAGATTAGAAACATACTGTGGAACAGCTGATGTACAAAGGGACATCCTCTTTTATATTATGAAAATTTCTAGTTCATACCAAGAGAATTCTTTACATCAAATACTGGTTTTGCTTAGAAATTCTTGGTTTTGTTTTAAAAAATTTGGCCTATTTTATTAAAAGATGCAGTAAAGTTTTGACATTTCAATTACCAACTATATAAAATTTGGTATCAGAAACCACTTAAAACATTGTTTATTTTTATATATAAAAATCAGATAAATATGCTCATAAAATCACACAGTAAATCTTAAAACATTCTAACATAAACATTTAACACAATTTTTTTTGTAATAGATTAATGATTAACTAATGACAAGTTTATCTGTCTTGACATAAATAAAAAAAAAAAATTCTGTTATAGTAGAAAATTAGGAACATCTAAAGTTTCTTGTGATATATTGATTCTGAAATTCAAACAAAGAGTAGAGTTGCTTCTATTATTCTCTTTTTTTGAGAGGATTTTTGATACTGAGATTTTCTGTTTTAGTCTAATACAAGGATGACTTGTAGGATTGATTTGATGAAACAATAAGATGTCAGGATACTTAGAGATCAACTTTCTCAGAATTTTGATATTATTTTCAAAATTCCTATTWAAAAAAGTAATCAAAAGTTATTTAACTTCAATAAAACTTAAAATCAACTTTTTTGTCAAAATTTAACTTATGAAAAATTAAAATCTATTTTCAGACTTCTAAATTTTTCAACATATCAATAGGTATGTTTGGTAAAGAAGTGTTTAAAATCCTGTTGAATATGTGGATTTACCGTGTTAAATCACGGTATCGAATTCCTTTAACTCATTAAGGATAAATTATTTAAGCATAAAATACTAATAGATTTAATAATGATACTATTTTTTGGTAAATTCATGATTTCCCACTTGTTTGTTTGTGTTCAGCTTGTAATTATTTATAATTAATATTTATACCTTCATAACCACGGATACCTTAAAATGATTTACATATGATAGTAGATGGTTAGTTTATGATATGTTAACAATATTATTATATCTAAAAGTTGCTTTTGTTATAATGGCCATTGATATGCAATTTTCATTGTATCTGTTGAAAAAAAACCGTTACACRAAAGTACCAATAATGGTATCGACCAAGCATTAATATTTGATCGATTCCATTGCTATTAACATTTTTTTAGCAAATTTAAAGACTTATATACACATGAAAATTATAGTAATGGTGTAAATCAGTGTTCCTCAACCTTTTAAGTGTTGGGCCCCCTCTTTTTGAGTTCCAATTTTTTAGCGACTCCCCCCCACCCACACACACACATGTATATTTTATTTATATACTTGTATAGTATATAGATAACTTTTAATATATTTTTAGAGTTCTAATTATTTAAATCATACACAACCTTGAATAATGAATTGACGACACTCTGGTTGAGAAACACTGGTGTAGATAGAAAGACTTCTAACAATAAAAAGTACTTTATAAAGTATTAGTATYATATACTAATTTAAAAAAATTTAATTTAATATATTATAGGAATTTAGAATCAGAAGGAATGCAAAGACAAAGAGAAAAAAGAATCTTGATTAAAGCTATAAGACTGGCTGAAAGAAGACATTCTAAGAAAAATAAAGAGGAAGAGGATGAWGAAGAAGAAGAACAACAAAAAGATCAAAAACCAAAGCAATAACAATATTTTTCACATTAGTGAAGAATATTCATAATTGGTAATTTAAATATATTAATATAAAAACACTGTACATATGATCAAAGAAAGAATTTAAAGGAAAACATTTTTATTTTTAGCACTATGATTAAGAATTATTATATTCTACCTTTTATAAAGTATGAGGGAGTTTAAATACTATTAAGATATACAAACAGTTAATATATAGTTATTTATTATTTGAAATTAAAGGTGCTAACTAATAACAAAAAAAAAACCTGTAACTTGTACCACCAGCTTAACTTAACTATATTTATTTAAAATTCAAACAAAATGAAAATTAATTATACATRCTGTCATTTTTTTACACAATTAATTATTTTTACTGTAAAAAATATTATAAGTACTCATTATTCATGTGCAATTTTGTAAATAAGTTAAATGATTAAAGGAATAATGTCAAATCTAGTATTAGTTCTTTTGTTTTTAGTTAATTGTTCTTGCTTTTCATAATCATTATTTAATATGCAATGTTTTTTGGTATAATTTATATTAAGTTTTCGATTTTATCATAGGTTTTGATGATTTTTTTATTTTCCAAAAGACATTTACGTATGTCCGATAAACATATCTGATCTATACATATGCGATAAATGTTCTTATAATTGACAACACAGGAGTATGTATAAGAAGTATACAAGTTTAATTGGAGTCTTAAATTCTTATGTTAAATTTGTTAGTGAATCATATCTAAAGGATGGCCAGATKAAATGAAATTAAGTCACCTAATATAGATTGTGTGCAAAACACTTAAAAAGGGAGGATTTATAAGTACCTAAGATTTTTTAGAGAAAGTTCTAAAAGTTTTTAAAGTTAGTAATATTTAATTGAAACTTAAATATTACAGGTTCTCATGGYCTCACGAGGAACAATTAAAATTTATAAATGAAGTGTTTCGTAAAATAGAATTAAGTAAATTTGGTTCTTAAAAATAAATAAATAAAACAACATTTTATTACTAGGAAATTTATTAAATAGAAGTCTACCTATTTCTTCATGTGAATAATTGATAAGTCTAATAGTCTATCTTAACCCATGATATAGTGCTAAATGTACAAGATTTTTTATTATTATTCAAAATAATCAAGAGTTTTTTGGGGATATTAAGAGGCCGTCCTGGTAGCAAAATTCGGCCGTAAAAACATGGTTTCGTACTTCAAGTTTTCCTCAGCTTTGGGTAGTCGTAGAAACATAATTTTTGCACCAAAATAAACGTGAGAAGTTCTTCTAGATTTTTTAATTTAAACCGATTATAAACTAAATTTTTAAAAAATCATATAAAATTCACAAAAAAAGATATCAAAAATCTGACACGACAAAATCTAGAAGAACTTCTCACGTTTATTTTGGTGTAAAAATTATGTTTCTACGACTACCCAAAGCTGCGGAAAACTTGAAGTACGAAACCATGTTTTAGGTCAAAAAAATATAAATTTACGGCCGGCATGTGCTGCTCTGCTGACTATAGTGGCAGCGTTCAGGAACAGTGTTCGTACCACCGCCCCACACGCAGCTGTAACTATACCGCACCATAGGTCAACTAGTTTTCATATCGCGACCGACTCGTCGTTTATAAATAGTCGGGTCGAAAACAGTAATGTCGATTACAGAATATTTGTTTTATTATTTTCATAATACCCATATTGATGTTTATACTTCGTATTATAGTATTCTGCTCATCATATTTTACACAAATTTTCTTTCATCATAAAATACTTGTAGAGCATTTTACGATTTTTTTTTAACGTTGACCAAAATTAATATAAAATAAACCTTAGATATACATACGAATAAATAAAAAGCTCAAAGCTGTTGAATAAAGTGACCYGAATAAATTAATAATGTACGATGTACTTCGATAACTTATATAAATTATAATAAAAACAATAAGTCACATTAATACCTAATTATATGAATTTTATATATAGGACAGTCAAATACTGTGATTATTT